TTCAAAATGTGGCCCGGGAATGATGTTGTGGAAACTCGAAGACCACGAAGTGGCCTACAGTTGGCTCCGGGCACCCAAAATGTGGCCCGGGAATGGAGTTGTGGAAACTCGAAGACCACGAAGTGGCCTACAGTTGGCTCCTGGGCATCCAAAATGTGGCCCGGGAATGGAGTTCTGGGAAGTCGAAGACCACGAAGTGGCCTACAGTTGGCTCCGGGCATCCAAAATGTGGCCCGGGAATGGAGTTCTGGGAAGTCGAAGACCACGAAGCGGCCTACAGTTGGCTCCGGGCACCCAAAATGTACGCCAGGAATGGAGTTCTAGCAGCGCCAAGAGCGATTTTGCGAGGATGTCCCAAACGATTTGGGCTTCGACGGCAGCCGCCCCGGGTCCCGCCCGGACCCCCCTGTGGAGTCATCAGCTGCTCTCTTTTGACACCATTAGAAACCTATCAGTCTTCGCTGCTAGGTAATTAACAGTTTCGTGGGACCCATGGGGTACGACAACATCAACACGAAAGAGAAGCTCATCGAACGAGTAAGTACGCACGAAAGGGCAGACGAAATAATGGAGGAGGGAGGACAGGTGCTCAGGAAACGAAGCCTTGTAAATAGTACGGGTTGTTGATAATTACCCTCTTCGCTCTGGCGGGGCCCCGCTGGAAGGGGGGAGGCCTACGAAACCTGGTATAGAGTAATGCTGTCCGCTACCCTCCTCGTTCAAGCGAGTCCTCCTCCTCCTCCTCCTCGTCGTCCTGCTCCTCCTCGTCCTCCTCATCCTCGGCATCATCATCATCACCACCATCATCGTCGTCATCATCAGCATCATCAGCAGCATCGTCGTCACCCCGTCGTCGCCATCATCAGCATCACCGTCATCATCATCAGTCTCAACATCATCATCATCACACTCGTCAGCATCACCGACATTATCATAACCATATTCATTATCTTCATCATCATCATCAGCATCATCATCATCGCCAGCGTCATCGTCATCATCATCATCGTCGTCGCCACCATCATCATCATCAGAAGCATCGTCATCATCATCACCATCACCGCCCTCGGCATCATCATCGTCCGCATCATCGTGGGCGTCATGATCATCAGCATCATCGTCGTCATCATCATCAACAGCACAATCGTCAGCATCACCGACATCATCATAACCATATTCATTATCCTCATCATCATCATCATCAGCATCATCATCATCGCCAGCGTCATCGTCATCATCATCATCGTCGTCGCCACCATCATCATCATCATCATCATCAGGAGCATCGTCATCATCATCACCATCACCGCCCTTGGCATCATCATCGTCCGCATCATCGTGGACGTCATGATCATCAGCATCATCGTCGTCATCATCATCAACAGCACCAGCAACGTCAACATCAGCAGCAGCATCGCCATCATCACCAGCATCTGCATCATCATCCTCGTCGTCGTCGCCATCGTTGTCATCATCGTCATCGTCATCATCATCATCGTCATCATCATCAGCATCATCATAATCACCGTTATCGTCATCGTCCATCGCCATTATCGCCATCGTCATCGTCATCGTGAACAGCAGTATAACCATCGTCATCACCATCATCATGATGAAGCCTTCCTCATCGCAGAACTACCCGTCCTCCTCACCCTCCTCAGCGGGAGGAGTAGGACGTGAGATGGATAGGTCATGTTCTCCCCTCCTCCTGACCCATGTCAGTGGGAGGGGCACGAAACAATTTAAATAATATGGGTTTCCGATACCCTCCTCGCTCAGACGGGGCCTCCCCGGAGGGGTGGGAGGGGCACGAAACCATGTAAATAGCATGGGTTTCCGATACCCTCCTCGCTCAGGCGGGGCTTCCTTGGAGAGGTGGGAAGGGCACGAAACCATGTAAGTAGTATGGGTTTCCGATACCCTCCTCGCTCAGGCGGATGGAAAGGGCACGAAACCATGTAAATAGTATGGGTTTCCGATACCCTCCTCGCTCAGGCGGGGCCTGCCTGGAGGGGGAGGAGCACGAAACCATGTAATCTTTATTAATTTCCGATACCCTCCTCGCTCAGACGGGGCCTCCCTGGAGAGGTGGTAGGGGCACGAAACCATGTAAATAGCATGGGCTTCCGATACCCTCCTCGCTCAGGCGGGGCCTCCCTGGAGGGGAGGGAGGATAGTATGGGTTTCCGATACCCTCCTCGCTCAAACGGGGCCTCCCCGGAGGGGTGGGAGGGGCACGAAACCATGTGAATAGTATAGGTTTCCGATACCCTCCTCGCTCAGTCAGGCGGGGCCTCCCTGCTGGAGGAGTGGGATACCCTCCTCGCTCAGGCGGGGCCTCCCTGGAGAGGTGGGAAGGGCACGAAACCATGTAAATAGCATGGGTTTCCGTTACCCTCCTCGCTCAGGCGGGGCCTGCCTGGAGGGGCGGGAAGGGCACTGCTGGGAGGTGGGAGGCGGGAGGGAGAAGGAGAGGATGTTCCGGGAAAACAAGAACCCGCACCAGCACCGGCCACCGGCACCAGCACCGCCACCGGCCACCAGCACCGGCACCGGCACCCACCGGCACCGGCACCGGCACCGGCACCGGCACCGGCACCGGCACCAGCACCGGCACCGGCACCGGCACCGGCACCGGCACCGGCACCGGCACCGGCACCGGCGCCGGCACCGGCACCGGCACCGGCACCGGCACCGGCCACCGGCACCGGCACCGGCACCGGCACCGGCACCGGCACCGGCACCGGCACCGGCACCGGCACCACCGGCACCGGCACCGGCACCGGCACCGGCACCGGCACCGGCACCGGCACCGGCACCGGCACCGGCACCGGCACCGGCACAGCACCGGCACCGGCACCGGCACCAGCACCGGCAGGCACCGGCAGCACCGGCACCGGCACCGGCACCGGCACCAGCACCGGCACCGGCACCGGCACCGGCACCGGCACCGGCACCGGCACCACCCAGAGGGTCTCTACTTGCTAACCTAGACCGGAGGATTTACATGCTTATAATTTAGGCCGGAGGATCTACATGCTTATTTAGGAAGTACAATGCTTAGTGGAGCGTGAAAAGTGTACGTTGTATGAATCATGCCATTATCAGGAATAGCTATATATATATATGTAAATATTTACACGCATACACATACATAGATAGTTACATATGTGAATATATATATATATATATATATATATATATATATATATACATAGATATATACACATTTCACATAAATACATAACTAAACATTTACGCACATGTCATATATGTACGTTCATATATGTATACGATATATGTGTATACCTGCACATCGCATCGTAATATATCTGCGCATGGGGTCGATGTACCTGCAGTGATACACACAAATAATATATGACAACTTCATATCCGAAGGCACTATCTAATTATTTATGTATATATACACAGATGCAGACGATCACGGGTGTCACGAACAACTGCACGAACACACGCAAACAACTTGACCACGCACGCCCCCACGAACAACACAGACACAGCACGTACACACGCACGAACAAACAACACGATCACGGATGGCACGGCCAACAAGAACAGCAAGGCCACAACAGCATTACGGGCAGCACGGGCAACGCCACAGCACTACCAGCACGATCACGAGCACGAGCACGAACGTGAACTTGTCGATGTGGTTGGTCCTGCGCCGCAGCGGGTCGGCTCGAGGCCCTCGCCCCCCATGGGGGGGTCAGACCCTGGCCGCGGCGGCACAGGGCAGAGGTCGCGCTGCAGGACCGCGTTTTTGTTGATGCGTCTTGTGTGTGTGTGTTGGGGGGAGAGCGGGTGCCCCAGCACCCCCGCCCGCTTTTCAACCATATGGTTGAAAAACGGGCGGGGGCAATGAGGGCTCCAGAGAAGCGGCTCCAGCGATGGGAAGGCGTTGGCCAAGGCTCTGAAGCAGCACATCCGAAAAGCAGATTGGATTCGATACGGCACCCACCCTGGGAGAGACAATTTCACGCCCAACTGCGTCTCCGAGATTCTGAAGAATCCGAAGGAGATCGGTTTAGCCCGTCGATGCCCCTCCCACCCCCCCTCGCTCCTACAGTACATGATTCCCCCTAGTCCCCTTGCCCTTCCTACTTATCCTCTTGCTTCCCTCTCGTCCTCCATCTTCCGCAATTTCGCCTCCGATTGAAAACGATCTCAGCTCCTGCTCGCCATCGAGGGCGCAGCCCCGAACTGGGCCGTCACAGAGACGGCCGCGAACGACTGCTTCGAGATCATCGCGAAGAAGCGGCAGGAGGAGTTCGAGTTCGACGACGCTGCCGCCCAGAGCTGGGCGACACAGCAGCTCGAGGCCACGTGGGGAGGGGGGGGGAGCGACGCGAGAGGGATTTGGGGGGGCAAGCGGCGGGCGCGGGGGCATGCAGTGGCGCCCCGGTGGCCCCGCCCCCTTGGGTCGCCCCCGCCCCCACCGCTTGGCCCCCCTAACTTCCGCTCGACGCCCCCCCCGCGGGTCGGGCCGGAAGGAGGAGAGGAGGAGGTAGAGGGAGGTCGGAGGTAGGAGGAGGGAGGTGATGGAGGTGGGAGGCGATGGTCGAGGCAAGTAGGAGGAGGAGGAGGAGGAGGAGGAGGAGGAGGAGGAGGGTAAGGAGAAGGAGAAGGAGGAGGAGGAGGAGGAGGAGCAGGAGGAGGAGGAGGAGGAGGCAGAGGTACGAGTCGAGGGTGACAGAGGGAAGTAGGAAAAGGAATTGCCAGATGGGCAGGGGCAGAAGGATAATGAGAGGCAGAATAATGAGGAGCGGGGTGAAGATGACGAGTATGAGGATGAGAATGAGGATGGGGACGAGGAGGAGGAAGGAGGAGGAGAAGGAGGAGGAGGAATGAGGAAGAGGGAGCGCGAGGAGGACGAGGAGGAGTCGGACGAGGAGAAGGACCGAGGAGGAGGAAACCGAGGGGTGAGTTTTTTTTTTGCAGCCCCTCCCCGCCTCCGCAGGCTGCGGTCGCTGGCGCGACACATGTGCGACCCTGCGCGCAGGGGGTCCAAGGGCCTCTCCGTGCCGAAGTGGTTGAAGGACCTGCGCCAGGCGCAGGACGCCCTCGGAGAGGCCCCGTGCTCGGCAGCGCCCTCGGGCTCAGGTCGGAGCACCGCGCAGATCGGGTACGACCCGACCTCGACGCCGCCCGTGGCATGGAGGCTGCAGGGCTCGAGCACGGTGCCCGAGACGACGACCGACATCTTCCACGAGAACATCGACGAGGCCAAAGACCACGAGATGATGTCGGCTCGGTTCCACGACGGCACCGTGCACCAGCTGGCCACATACACGGTGGCCCAGCACAAGGCCGCGCAGTCAGGAGTTGACAAGATGAAGACGACGAAGTTCAAAGGATGGCGACAACAGACTGCAGGTGGCGCCGAGGTCAAGGTCGTCGAGAAGTCGCTGTACAAAGTCGGCGACTACATCACCAAGGGCATGATCATGACGGTGGACGGGTCCCAGAAGTGCCAGCTGGCGTACTGCCACTACGACAGGGAGTTCGCCAAGACGTGGCTCGAGAAGATGGCCGCCAAGTTCGTGAAGGGGAAGAAGACGATCGAGCAGATCATCGCGCACGCAGGCCGCGATGAAGCGGCCCGCAGGCGCTGCCATGAAGAGGCCTGCGGCAGCGGACGGCGACCCAGAGGGCAAGAAGGACGACGAGGAGGAAGAGGAGGACGAGGACGAGAACGACGAGGGCACGGACAACGACTCCTGCAAGTACTACGGGGCCGAGGAAGAGGGAGAGGAGGAGGAGAAGGAGGAGGACGAGATCCTCGGTGACAGCGAGGAGCAGCCCGCGACCCTCGGCAGGATGGTTGACAAGCAGGGGCTCACGGAGCGAGCTCTAGCGGCGATCGACGAGCTGGCCGCCACTGACGACGAGGGCGCCGAATCCGAGATCAGCGGCACAGCGCAGCATGACGATGGCGAGGAGGTGGCGCCGCTCAAGAGGAAGCCAGCCGCAGCCGCGCCTGCCGAGGAGAAGATCGAGGAGGAAGAGCAGGCAGGCGAAGAGGAGGATGAGGAGGAGGAAGACGAGGAAGAGGCAGAGGAGGAAAAGAAGGACGACGAAGAGCAGGAAGAGGAGGAAGAGGAGGAAGAGGAGGAAGAGGAGGACGAGGAGGATGAGGAAGCAGAGCCAGAGGACGAGCCGCCGAAGAAGAAGATGAGGCTGAGGATGAGGCCGTCGGCGATGCCAGGCCCCCGCACGTCGCTCGTCGGCCGTGCCGTGGCCCTGCTCGAGCGCGCGAGCGGCTCCAGGTGAGCAGACCCGTGCGAGAGAGCCGAGCCACATATCGTCTGATCGTCACTTCGTGATCCTCGTCCCTCCCCCCCGTGACCCGCCCGCGACCCGCCCGCGACCCGCCTGCAACCCGCCCGCGACCCGTCCCGCGACCCACCCGAGGGCGACCCTCCCGCATTGCTTTAACCAAACAATTGGCTCCTGCGGCAAGCCCGTTATAATTTGCAGCGCCTGCGGCCGTCTTCAGAGCCCCGCAGACTGCAGACACCCCCGCCGCCCCCTCACTCCCGCGGGGTGCTCTCGACGCTCGATGCCGATAATGACGGCTGCCCACCGGGCGCAGCAGGGGGGAGAACCTCGGGGACGCGGGGTGGGCGTCGCGGGAGGGTCGCGGGCGGGTCGCAGGTCGCGGGAGGGGCGACGACAACAGCAACAACAACACTAATAATAAGACTAACGCCTCAAAAACAACAGCAACAACAACAACAGCAACAACAACAGCAACAACAACAACAGCAACAACAACACCTTCATCAACAGCAACAACAACAACACCAACAACAACAACAACAACAGCAACAACAACAACAGCAACGGCAACAACAACAACAACAACACCACCACCACCACCACCACCAACAACAACAACAACAGCAGCAGCAACCACAACAACAACAACAACGACCACAACAACAACAACAACTACAACAACAACAACAAGCATGATCAGCGCTGCGGAGTCCCACATCAGCCACGCACCCAGTGACAGTGAACTCTGATCGACCTACTGGGCACCTCGATCGATCGTTTTGATCCGCGATCGGCGCGGCCTGCTATCGCAGATCGCAAGTCGCGCCGACCTGCCACTTCCGATTGCAATATTGGCGCGACCCGCGATCTGCGATCAGGCCGCGCCGATCGCGGATCGAACCGATCGATCGACGTCTTGTGCCATGTCGCTTCGAGCCCCTCAGCTGTTCGGCTTTCAGGGGCTTTCGACGACAGGCCCAGCTCCCCGACAGTGCGATGGCCCTCCCCGCCCCTGCCCGCCGCGGCGGCTCCTCGAACGGGCCCGCCGACGTCGACTCTGCTGGTCCTGGGTCGAGCTTGGTGGCGGCTCCAGACGGGGCTCCAGATCGCAAAAGGGGACGGGTGAGGGGGTCGAGGCACGGGAAGGGGAGGGCGGGATCGGGCGCGGCCGAGGAGGTGGCGGAGGGGGGTGAGGAATTATAGGGAAGCAGAGTGGCAGGACGATGGGACGCAGGATAGGGATGATGATGAGGGAGAGGTTCAGGAGCAGGAGGAGGAGAGCCCCCATAACCCAGTCGACCAGGGGGGGGGTCGCTTGCCCGCCCGACGCGCCACCCCCCGAAGGGCACGTTGGCTTCATCGACCTCGAGCAGCTGCACCTCACGCCCGACGAGTGGAACGCCATGACTGAGGATCAGAAGCTGCGGGCGTGCGGACAGCTCAAGGCGCAGAGCACCTTGGCGGAGGACACCCAGGCGTTGCTCGACCAGCACAAGGAGGTCATCGCCGACCAGCACCGGGCGTGGGCCGCGCACGAGCTACGTCGGCGGCAAGTTGATGGGCCAATTCCAGTCGAGGACAGCCCTGATGCAGCCGATCGGCTCGCCCAGAGTGCTGCGCCGCCTCCTGGCTCCATGTCCGCGATCGCGGCGGTCGTCAGGCCCTCTGCGATCTACGACGGGGGCGGCTACTCGATGGCGCACGAGCTCGAGGTCGACAGGCTGCGCTTGGAGGATGCGGGCGGTGCGCCAGGCCAGACGGCGGCGCGATCCTGCGCGTCCGAGCCGCCTGCAGAGCAGCAGAGCCAGGTCTTGGCTGGCGAGCCCGAGGCGGCGGTCGAGCCTGAGGCGGCTGGCGAGCCAGAGGAGAAAGCAGAGACGAGGTCGAGGAAGGCGAAGCGCCAGAGGAAGACCAGGAGGCGTCGCCGCAGCGCGGGACGCAGCAGCACGTGTCCGCCCACGCCTTTGTGCGCCAGCAGGCTGCATAGCTCGTTGCATTTACATCCTCGGCCCCCCTCCCCCGCATGCCCCCTCCCTCTCGGGGCCCAAGGGGGCCCCGAGAGGGCGCCGAGAGGGAGAGGGCTCGAAGATGGCCCCGAGGGGGCACATGGTTAAGGTCCTATAGAAACGATCGCGCTTGCAAGCTGCCTCGGCCCTCTCTCGATCAGGCCTCTCTAGGGGACCTCTTAGAGCCCTCCCGGCGCCCTCTTGGAGCCCCTGGGTTTTTCTATGACCTCGGGGGGGCCCAAGCGGGCCCTTAGGGGGCCTTCGCAGGCAGCTGGGGATGATTGACTCCCGCCCCCATCCTCCTCGTCCTTAAACCTCCCCCCTTCCGCGCCCTTACCTCCCTCCCCCTCGCCCCCCCCCCATCCCGCGCCAGCCTTCGCCATTCTCATTGCCCCCGTCCGAGCTTCTCGACTTTCGCTTGCGCCCGCGCAGGTCAGAGAAGCTCGAGTGCGCGCCGCCCAAGACTGCTCGCGCCGCTGCTGAGCAACACCTGAAGCGGCTGGTGCAGATGCGGGGGGATGGCAGCGGCCATCATCCATGCCACCCTCCCGTCGCTGGCCTCTCCAAGGGCGGCGAACCCAGCCTGGAGTCGGTCGCGGGCAAGCGCGGCGCCAGGGGCGAGGTCGAGGCCATCAAGGCGGTGGAGGAGAACAACTGCAAGTTCACGAAGAGGTCGGCTCTCGGCCTGAGGTGGGACAGGAAGATGAAGGACGCCAAGTTCAAGGCCCAGTTCGAGGCGGCCCCCGACGCAGCCAAGTTCAAGGCCGACTGGGTGAAGGAGATCTACGACGGGGCCGTCAGGAAGCACAGGACCCACACCAAGGAGGTCTCGGAGACGTGGATGAATCAAGGGAAGCTCCTCACCTTCCTGAGGATGTGCTGGGAGGAGGGGGGCCCTACTGGGCACAAGGACCGCCAGATCGTGAAGGACATCATGACGACCTGCGGCAAATGCATCGACCTTGGTTGGCCGTTTTGCCAGGTCGATCCGTGGTCGGGGGCCCAGAAGTACTTGTACTTCGAGCTGCAGTATAGGGAGGAGTTCATGGAGAAGTGGAGCGAGACTACATGCCAGGAGCACGAGAATAATGCCGTCGCGGACAGTCAGCCCACCGAGAAGCCCAAGCCGACCCCCAAGAAGAAGGCGCCCGACGAGAGCGCGGCGGCCCTGAGGGACAGCAAGAAGTTGGTCGTCATGGCGCAGTCGGCGCTGGCAGCTGCGCGATCCCTCAGGCGGGCGATCGAGACCTCTGGCGGCTGGGAGTGGGCCATGACCGACGCAGTCCAGGGGAAGCTGAAGACCATGAGCGGCAAGCTCGAGAAGGAGATCAAGGCGGTGGAGATGGGCCAGATGTTCATGAACGGGTTCGACGCGAAGCAGGCGACTCTGTAACATTACAAAAAAAACACCTTCTCCTCCTCCTCCTCCTCCTCCTCCTCCGACTCCTGATATTTCTCGCGCAGGTGCTGCTGCCCATCCTCGTTCGCTATCTGGACCGCTCGCGGTTGCTTGTGCTCCTGCTCCTGCTCGTTGCCCGACCCACCTCTTCCTCCGAGCTCTAGCCCAACAGGGCGCGCCCGCCCCCCCCCGCGCTCCCAGGTGAAGGCCAAGCTGGACTCGAAGACCATCGCGTCCCAGGCGAGGATGCTCAAGGACCTGGAGGAGACGCCCCGCGGCGGATTGTGATGATGATGGGGCTGCCGATGGCGACGATGATGTGGATGGTGATGGTGGTGGCGGTGGCGATGATGAGGATGATGACGGTGACGATGATGATGATGATGATGATGGTGATGATGATGATGGTGATGATGATGATGATGCTGTTGATGATGACGAGGTGTGTGACGGTGATGACGATGAGGATGAGGATGATGGAGGTGGTGATGATGATGAGGACGATGACGATGACGACGATGGTGATGCCGATTATGGTGATAATGGTGATGGTGCGGATGATGCTGATGATAATGATGATGCTGATCATCGATGGTGGTAATGATGGTGATGATGATGCTGGTGACGGTGATGATGATGATGATGATGCTGATGATGATGATGATGGTGATGATGACGATGATGGCGGTGATGATGATGGTGAGGATGATGATGCATATGATGCTGATGCTGAGGATGATGAGGATGGCGATGATGCTGAGGAGGAGGACGATGAGAAGGAGGCGGAGCAGTGAGGAGGAGGAGGAGGGTTGAAATAAGAGGAGGAGGAGAAGGAGGAGGAGGAGGAGGAGGGAAAGGAGCTGGACCCCAAGCCGTGGATGGAGAGAAGCGCTGTCCGCGACGAAGTGGCATGATGTTTTGCGTCAGCCACTTTGTCGCGGAATTGCAGACCAACGGAGGGGGATCTGTTTGTTCCCAGCCATCCTGTGGTGGTGGGCTTTCGTTTTGAGGAGTCAGCGCCCCGCGTTCCTTCCTTCCTCCTCCTCTCCTCTCCCTCCCCCCCCTCGCCCTCCCCCCATGCCATCCCTTGTCCCTGTCCGCGCGCCCGCCATTTCGGCGCACCCCTCGCGAGGATCATGACCCCGTAGGGAGCTCCACCAGAGGCCCCAGTGGCACGGGCCGCGCGCGCCCGACGCCCATTTTGGCGCGCGCCCTCACGCGGCCATATGGCCCCATAGGGAGGATCGTTCGAATGCCCAGCCCGCGCGCGCCCGACGCCCCTATTTTGGCGCGCACCTCGCGCGGTACGTGGCCCCGAATGGGGCAGCTCGAAGGCCACAGTGGCTCAGGCAGCACGCGCCCGATGCTCATTTTGGCACACCCCTCACACGGTTCACGCGGCCCCGTAGGGAGCTCCATCAAAGGCCTGTGGCTCGGGCCGCGCGCGCCCGACGCCCCCCGCGTCGGCGCGCCCCGCGCGCGGGTCGTGGCCGAATAGGGAGCTCTACCGAAGGCCCGTGGCGCAGGGCGCCCGACGCCAATTTTGGCACGCCTTCGCGCGGTTCGCGGCCCCATGCGAGCTCCACCGACGGCCCCAGCGGCGCGGGCCGCATGCGCCCAACGCCCATGTTGGCACACCCCTCGCATATGTTTCGCGGCCCCACACGAGGGCCCCACCGATGGCAACAGTGGCGCAGGCCGCGCGCGCCCGACGCCCATTGGCAAACCATTCACACGGTTCGCGGCTCCATCTGCAGCTCCACCGAAGGCCCAGTGGCGCAGGTCGCGCGCGCCGCCCGATGCCCATGCGGTTCGTGGCCGAATAGGGAGCTCCACCGAAAGCGGCACCCACAACGTAGTGTTTGGGGTCCGTCGGGATGCCCGCGAGAGCGCTGCGCGTGCCACCAGGACCGCGTGAACTCCCTGAACGAGAAGGTGCAGGGCACGCTGAGCGCGCACGAGAACGTGCACGCCATGGCCAAGGGCGCCACCAGTGGCAAGAAGAGGAAGGCCCCTGCTGCAGCCCTCGAGCCTGCCCGCCCCATGAAGCGCCCCTCGAAGTGAACAGCGATCGATCGAGGTAGAGCCAGCAGCACACATTTTAATCAAACAGGGGTTTCGAGGGGGCCATGGACAGCAAAACATGAAAATCTGGCCGTGGGGTGACAGCTGCTCAGCAATTCTGGTCTCTGCGTGCTGCGCTATGGGGAGTGCGGCATCTGCAGAGAATTGCATCAGTATAGCTGCTCTGGCCTTGTCTTCGACGAACCGTCGGAGGGGCTGGCTCTCGAGCGACGCACCGGCCCGGCATATTTCGAACGAAAACGGGAAAATTATTGAATATTGTATCGATGATCTATCGATGACCCTTCGATGAGCGACCCCGACGATATGCGATAAATTTCCGGGACCGGTGATATGTGATCGATGAGCCCATCGATGAGCATCGATGAGCCTCGTTTGCGAGCGAGGGCAGGAAGCCTCGCGCACGCATTGCACGCAGATCTGTAGGGCAGCCCACCTCTCATCTCCGCCCCCCCCCCCCCGCATGGCCTCTGCGAGCAGCTCTCTGCCGCCCTCGCCTCCAGCTGCCCGAGCTCGACCAGCAGCGCGCGCTTGCGCGCGCGCCGTTTTGCCAGGAAAAGCGAGAGTGCGAGGCGGAGGGGGGTCTGCGTCGAGCAGCTGTGGTTTCTGGCCCTCTCCACTTCAGTCGCTGGGCACTCCGCGCCCGTAGCTGGGCACCAGACTTGCGCCCGCAGGGCAGTCCTCGGGCCCTCTCGGAGTTCCTTGGAGCCTTGGGGGCCCTCTTGCCTTCGGATGTTCCCCCAGCCATCCTGTTGTGTTGGGGCCTCGTTTTGAAAAGACAGCGCCCCGCGCTCCTTCCCTCCCTCCTCCTCCTCCTCCTCTTCCTCTTCCTCCTTCTCCTCATCCTCCTCCTACTCCTCCTCCTACTCCTCCTCCTCCTCCTCCTCCTCCTTACTCCTCCGACCCCTTGCCTCTGCTCCCCGCGCGTCCACCATTTCGGCGGGCCCCTCGCGAGGTTCGTGGCCCCCTGGGGAGATCCACCGAAGGCCCCAGTGGTACAGGTCGCGCGCGCCCGACGCCCATGTGCGGTTCGTGGCCCTACGGGAGCTCCACCGATGATGATGATGATGATGATGCCGATGATGATGACGACGACGATGGCGATGACAATGATGATGGCGATGCTGCTGATGATGATGAGGGCGATCGATGCTGATGGTGATGGTCGTGGCGATGATTATGATGATGATGATGATGGTGATGATGGTGCACCATGATGATGATGATGATGGCGAAGATGATGAGGATGATGACGATGATGATGAGGTTGATGATGACGACGATGATTACGAGGAGGAGGATGAGACAACGGGAGGATATGATGATGTTGCAGCTGATGATGGTGCACCATGATGATGAGGATGGTGGCGATGTTGATGATGACGGTGAAGATGCTGATCATGCTGGTGGTGATGATCATGATGATGGAGGTGGTGGCGATACTGAAGATGATGCTGATGAGGAGGGGGGCGGGGCGGGGTGGGGCGGGGGGGGAGGGGGAGGATTGACACGGGAAGAGGAGGAAGAGGAGGAGGAGGAGGGGGGGGGGGGAGGAGGAGGATCAGGAGGAGAAGAGGATAAGACGGAGCTGGACCCCAAGCCATGGATGGAGAGAGGCGCTGTCCGCGACAAAGTGGCTGATGCGTTGTTCGTCGGCCACTTTGTCGCGGCCATGCCGACCAACGGAGGGGGGGCGGGATCTGTTCGTTCCCAACCATCCTGTGGCGTTGGGCCTTGAATTCGTTTCGAAGAGTCAGCCCCCCCCCGTCCCGCCCCGCCTTGACTCGGCCCGACAACGCGAAAAAATCGCTCTTGCCCACTAGGTTTTTTCGGGGCCAGAAATCTGGCAGTGGGCAAGAACTGTTCGGCATGTGTTTGAGCGCATTCAAAAGAAGATATCCTGCTGATATCTCAGAAGAAGGTTGTGTTTCCTACGATCGCGGGGTCGTCTAGCGTTCTAGGGGCGTTTTCAATGGTTCTGACGGGGCCCGCGGGGCGTCATATGGAGCCCCGCCGAAAGTGGAACCTGCGACGATTGCGCGCGGTTGGGTCCTTCGCCAGGATAATTTCCTTAGGTCGGTGACTCGGCCCGCTGCGGGGCCACTGAAACTGCAGGTACTTACGTGGGCTCGTGGGGCCCATGTTGGAGCCCTTTCGGGGCCCATGGGGCTCGCTTGGGGCTCTCTCGAGATGTGCGCGGCGCTTTGCGAATTGTCTGGTGGGCCACAGTCCGATGTCAGCGTGCCCCATAACACATTTGGACACGATCGGGACCTCGGTCGACAACAGGGGCGGAGAGAAGGCTGAGGGGGCACGCTACACATTACACAAATGTGTATTTATATATATATATACATTCATACATGCACACAACGCGCAGGTGTGCACAATCACCACGCGTGCACCGACAACATTTGCAACATAGCTCTGCAGCCGCGTAGGGTCGAGGCCCGCTATCAGCACGGGGCCAAAGAGGAGGCGCATCTACAATTTTCCTTCGGATGAGACAGCCTCCCGAGAGGCCGCGAGATTTGCTGGGCAAGCTTTGCGCGACGAGCTGCTTGCCCTCTATGCCTTGGGCAAGCTCCCAGCATCGCAGTTATGCACTATAGCTTACAATGCAGTCCAGGCTGGCGCAATTTCCCCCATAAGTGCTTTCGCAGTCCCCCCTGGCCAGTCTTCGGGCAATTACCAGAAAGGGGTGGATAGGGCGTTGGCGGACATGAACATCACAGATATAGAACCTATGGAATTATCAGTGCCAGGGCAGAGTACCACTCGCAAAATGCGTTTCGATTTGAAGCTCCAGTTCAGGCCATTCTACGATTTATTGGAACGTGAGCTCACGCGAACACCAGAGGCCAGGCGCGTGATGGAGGCCCAGCTGCACGCGCAACAGTGGCCTGAGTCGCACGCCAGGCACAAAATCAAATTCGAGGCCGCGCCAGCTGAGCTGGTGATCCCCGTGGGCATCTTCATAGATGGTGCCCACTACGGCGGGCATTCGTCGGCTGGCAGGCAGCGTTCTATTCTCGTGGTGTCCATGTCTAACCTCATAACTGGTCGGCGTCATCCTGGCATTATTATGCGGAAGCAGTTGCAGTGCAAGTGCGGTTGTCACGGCTACTGCACGTGGCAACGATTGTTCGAATGTGCGCGGTTTTGTATAGATGCGCTTGCACGC